CTAAATAATGGCGAGTTTAATTACATAGTGTTCGAATATCACAGATGAATATTTTTCATTCTTCGGCTCCTTCTGTGCCATTTTTAAGATGCATGACGATCACCTGTGTGCACAAAATTAGTTGACGTTCATTCCTGACACATGCTTGTCAGCAGCAGTTTTTCTCCCCTAGCACCTGTTCCAAAAAGTAGTCATAATAGATTAAAATGAGCCAAAAACATCTTACAAGTTTGATAAAGTGGCCATATGTCTCCTAAATACGAACTTCTGCACATTGTGTGACAGGCTTAACAGAAATGGTGAACAAAGAAATGAATGAAAACAACTTGTAATTCAGCATGACGCGTTCAGTGACGAACGACACATCGATCTTATCGAAGTGAGAAATGTCAAGTGATGTGTACAGCCTTCACTCAGTCCCACAGGCTGGGACTCACTGGGATCTCGCTGTAATCCGTACAGTATATGGAAATACCTTATTTACGCTGCGTTACCGGTAGTTGCATGTGATACCAACCAGTCATTGTTGCGCAAAACCTATTCACCTGTGTGACTCTGGTCAGGAGGAGTGTTATCTGATTTTTCCGAAAGGTGCATAATGCCGAGCTCAAGCATCAGTACAGGGTACATCACTGTTCATTTACAAATCCGGAGTCCGGAAAATAAGCGACTTGTTGGTAATGATCATATAACTATATATATATATATACGTATATATAATGATCATATATATACCACGAGAACCAAGCCGGACGACACTACTCTCTTGCGGGTATGGCAACGCCGCCCTCGGTAAAGCACGCGAAATTCGCAGAGAAGCCGATTTAACACACGAAGAATGGTATACAGCCTGGATGCACACGTATAAGAAGGATACAATGACTGCCTTTAAGTATGGCAAATATTTATTTTCGGTAGGAGACAAACCGCGCTACAAACCAGATGACATGTCCGTTATGCCAAAGATTTCTGAAGCAAACAAACGCACAAATTAGAGCAGGAGCCTAATAGTCCACACCCTTTCAAAAGCTACAAGTGTGTAACTTTTGGGTGGAATAGGAAATGTTTTAAAGGATATTGTCTCGGGCCTGATGAGGAGCGCTAATTTTCCCACAACCACAAGTGTATACTCTGAATTGATTACACGACACGCGGAGCCGTTCAAGTCAGAGTCTCATAATTCTAATACAGAATAATAAGTACAATACAATATTGACGATTAATGTTGATAGAAGTGAAGAAATTCACGTCCAGCTGCAATAGCCAAGGAAGAATTAAGCGATAGGAGTGATCGATGGCTGCGTAGCTTTGTGTGGCAATGATACTGGTGTTGTCGGTGAGTACTCAAATACTCAAATAGAGAACCCTATATATTTATTTAGAAGCGTATAAGAAAACATAGCTGAAGCACTCACGTAACTATAAAAACACAAAAAGTTTAACTTATAGGAGCCCAACTTGCATAAAAATGGCATCAAAAGCGTCAACAGAAAACTTTGGGCGTAATACAAATATTCCAGAAGTTAGCTGACGAACCATTATTTGAGGCTAAAAAATCGCGTTAAAAGTTTTTATTTGTAAGTTACCGCCTAACAGGTGGAAGTTACATAGAACGCGTGCTTAAAAGAGCCCTTCACTTCTTGTTAGCATGATCTCTGTCTGCTGACATCTAAATTCGAGATTATCCAAGGCAGTCAGACCGGACTAATCTCTGCCACCAGAATTTAATGTTTAAGTTTCACTCTTTGGCTTAACTTGGTAAACCTGATATGGAAATTTGTTGTACGGAATATTTGCAGAATGATTGGAGTAACCTTTCTTGCTAACAGAGACAGCTAAGAAACATAAGTTTTATCATAAAGAAATTGATCAGAAGAATTAATCATTATTACAGACGAGGACTGCATCTTGAAAAATTGCTCACAACTTTTACTAGCCGCTATGTTTCTTATAAACAAAGTAGTTACGTGGCCAATTGGAAAATTGGCCTCCGTAATTTGGTTGCCAAAATAACTATTTAGGGACCTATGGCTGATTTAAAAACTGTAGAAAGTTGTATACATTTGCCCCCTTAGAAGAAAGACACGATATCTGGTTCCTTTGAGGACTCGGTCATATGTACATAACAACTCTGGCAACTTTTCAAGCCCTGAAGTTGAATAACGTAACTTGTCAGTGGAGTAATAACGTTAAAACAAAGCTACGGTAACTTTGAAACAAAAACTTGCTTCAATAAGGCACGATTCGGTTAATCGAAGTCTGTTAGTACAAGAGTGTAAGCATCGTAGATCGTTCACCGAATTTCATTGAGTCATTGCGTGCGACCACGATATGAAACCTAGCACTCCCAGTATCCTCCGTGTGTATGGTCTAACCATATTAGTTTTTTAACAGCGCCATCAAGCTCGTGATGTAAGCCTGTTAAATAGCGTCATTTTTAAGTGGCTACAGACAGAGATCCATTTCCACAAAAAACGTGGGCGAAAACCGAGCACGTCTCATTTCACGTCTTGTGAGTTTTATACTCAAACATATTTATTTTGTTGAATGCAACAAGCAGCTAGAAAGTTTGGCAAATATATCCAATCGTTTCGAAAGTTGCATGCTTGCAAACTTCTGAGCTTCTCGCTGTCACCACATTCTCAAATAAGTGATTCATTAAATCAGGCCACTGCATGGCTGGGAGTTCTGCGCATGCAATGTAGGCAACACATTGAGCCGCAGAACTATTTGCAGTGGTTTCTATCCCAAGAGCAGCCAGACAGTTTTTCTTTGTGTATTGACGTTCATCCGGCGTTAACTGTAGCCACCTCTGCTTATACACGGATTTTATGTTGGCATCTTTGGAATATAACGCATTTTTAAGCTGGAGACCAGCCTGCATCCGAACCACCGGAGAACATTCTGCGTTGCATAGAACATCACTCAGTTGTCGCAACAACCCGACGAGATCTGCCTCCGCAGCCTTCTCGAGGAAATGCTGTGCAGCTTCCAATTCCTGTTGAACTGGTGATACGCTCTTCTCCAACACTGCTAGCAAGCCCACGTCCACAGACATTGCAGAGAAAGACCGTGCCTGTCCTAACTTCATAAAGCGCGCCTGCTCTGTTCCCGTCTGCAAAGATGGGCTCTGATTATGCTGGGGTATGACTTCGATATTCAATATCGGCGCACCACCGACTTCGGTCAGGCCGATGCATTATCTCGGCTGATCAACAACCAGCCAACACCGGAAGAAGACATGGTCATTGCGCATGTTGCATTTGAAGACCCAGCCGACCCACAGTTGGTCCAGTCCGTTCGTGCCTTGCCCGTGACAGTAACAGAGGTTCAAAGAGCTACCACAGCTGATGGAACGCTTCAAAAGGTGATCCGATCCATGAATTCTCGGTGGCCTTCGAATCTCAAAGATGACTCCCTTCGACAGCTCTTTCACCGCCGAGATGCATTAGCGATCGTGAAAGACTGTTTAATGTTTGGAGATCGCGTGGTGATTCCGCAACCTTTACGCCAGCGAGTTCTTCGTCAGTTCCATTCTGGACATCCAGGAATCAACCGTATGAAGTCAATAGCTCGCAGTTACGCATACTGGCCGCACATGGACCAGCACA